TTCCTGACACAGCCTGCCTGCTATGAGGTAAAGGAGGCAGGAGAGGGAAGTGCACATGCTACTGGCTTAGAATTAGAGGAAGTAGTATGAAATCATGTTCTAAAGCAAGCCAATGCCAAAGGACAAGTCTGCAACATTTTGCTAGCTTTCATGAAATTAAAAAAATTCTTTCAAAATATGAGTCTTGAAGTGAGTTCCTAAGCAGCTTCTCAATCTGAATAACAACTAATGAAGAATAAGACATGAATCAAACTACTTTTGGGAACCAAAGCCCTGGAAACCTTGTATCCTTTAGAGTACTAACAATGAAGACACACACACACATACACACGCACACATAAACAGTAACACACAGGAAACATTTTCTTCCCAACAGAACATCATGGAGAGGATGGAGAGAGACCAGAGTAGGAAATGCTGGATTGCCATGGGTCTACTGGTCAGCAGGAACTATTACACGGTGCCCCCAGTGCAGGGAAGAGAGTCGGGAGGTGTGTGTTTGCATAGTCTGGACATTCCTTCTCAGATATTTATTGCCTGCAGAGAAAGGAACCTCCCTGGTAGGTCCCTGCAGCTAAGTGCCCCTCACAGCTGGTACCCCATCTTGAGAAGACAAGTGGAGGCTGAGAGTCTCAAACCAGCAGCTACCCCAGACTCAGTCAAAAGTCACAAGCACCTGGTCTACTCCATGAAGGAGACGCGGACCTGTGAGGGAGCAGGGCTCGTCGGGTCCAGAAGGACACTCCACACTGCAAGATGACACCCCCCCGAGTGGCACGGCACCTCTGCTTCTCTGAGAGAGTGACCGCCTGTGGGGGAATGTGGGAGCGCTCGGGAGAGAGTGTGTGAGCTGGCTGTGGTTCACCAAGCACCAACCCTGAACAGAGGCACAGGTTCAGGGAAGAAAGGGAATGTTCACGCTCTAACTGCATGGCAAAGCAGAAAGGGGGTGCAGCATTTGAAACCCTTTAGGTAAAGTTCTCTAGTTGACCAGATGGCATTAAGAAAAAAATGGGCAGCTGGTCCCCACAGAGAGCTGCCTGAAAGGGACAAAGTGGTCCCAGAGGTGACTGGTGGGCGGTGAGTTCGGGTCAGGTCAGGAACTGTAGTGAGGATGCCCTGGGCCAGCACATGAGTTGAGGAAACAGCGCAGAGCACCACTCAGGGGCCCCGAGCTGAGCTTGCACTTCTGAGAAGCCTGTGTGGGAAGCAGCAGGCAGGACTCATGGGACATCAGGTGAAGGTAGAGCTCAATTTTAACGGGGCTTTGAGGCACATGTGCATATAGACGCATAGGTCCATGTGCTCTGGGGACCCCTGTGTGGCCTGTCTGCTCCAAGTAACAGGTGCCCATGTCTATCCAGCCAGCCCCCCGCATCAGAAGAAGTGCAGGGACCAGAGGTCCCCTGTGAGGAGCCCCTGATGGAGCTGTGTCCTGGGTTCTTGGACAGAAGGGGACAATGGTGGCGGGGAGCCTGCAGGAGAAGGTGCAAGATGCATCTCCTAACAAGGGGAGGGTTGAACAGCCGTGCTCACGACATCAATTCCTGGAAGGAGAGCGGAAATGCTGTCATGGGAATAGCCATTCTGCTTAAGAAACAGTCACTTAAGGTCTTAAGATGGGAAATGAGTCAGAGGGACAGACAGAACAATAACACTCATTTGCATAATATTAAAAAACATAATGTGAAAATAATACTCAAAAGACGGTAGAAATGAGGGCCAGGAGGACTGGCCCATGGTAGGAAGTTTGCCACAAAGGGTGGGGAGTGCAGTTTGGACAAAGAAAGGACCACTAAGACAATGATAGTTGGAAATGATCACTCTAGACAAGAACTGAGTGCTTAAAGGAGGGAAAGGGATATGCATGATAACCTTTCAGTAACAGTATTTGCTAGCTACAGTGCCTAAAAGGAAAAATGGAATGGGGGGGAGAAGGGGAGAGGGAGAGAAAGAGAGAAAGAGAGAGACAAAGAGAGAAAGAGAGAAGAAAAAGAAGAAGAGGAGGAAGAGGAGGAGGAGGAGGAGAAGGAGGAAGAAGACAGACAAGACAGACAGACAGATGGGAAAGCAGGCAGGCATGCAGGCAGGCAGGCAGGCAGATGCTGACATAGAGAGGCAGGCTGGGAGATGGGGTGGGCCCAGGCAGGAGGGGAACTGGGGACACTGGTGGCAAGTAATATGCATTGGTGAAGGGATGTGTGTTGAAACATTGTATGTGTGTTGAAACATTGTATGTGTGTTGAAAGATTGAAACAAACTCAATCATGAACAACTCTGTAGCTGCAGGTGTTTCAGTAAAAAGAGAAGATGTGCTTGTGTGGGTGCTGGAGAGATAGTCCCGCAGGTCAGGTGCTCGCCTTGCACACGTGGACCAGGGGTTCCACCCTCAGTATCCCATGTGGTCCCCTGAGCAGTGCCCTGTGTAACCCCTGAGCATGGTTGGGTGTGGCCTCCTAAACAAACAAGATGTACCCTGCGTGGCCTGGCCAGGCTCAGTGGTTGGGCACACCTGGCAACGGGAGGGAAGTCAGCAAAGCCCCAGCCTTATCCACTCCAGGTCCCAAAGGTCGAGCAAGCATCGCCCAAGGAGTTATGCATTTCAGAATGACGTGCTGGTCACTGAGATGAAAATAAAGAAAAAACAAGAGCTCTATTTCAAAAGGCCACTAAATGTCATCACGGAGCTTCATATTCCATTCATTTGAAGAGTCCCATTTGAATGATCGTCAGTGAGGACCAAATGAAATCTGCGGGGTGGGAAAGCCTTCTTGACACAGCTGATAGAGCCCACAGAGCTCAACAGACATTGGATAATGAAACTTTCATATTATGCAAAATGAATTATTCCTAGGTCAATTTTTCACTTCTCTGACTTAAAACAATAGTACATTTTTAAGTGATCAATCTCTGACCTAGTGAATTGTAAAACAGATGCAGCCTATTGAGAAAATAAAGTGGAAGTGCTTAGCTGTTTCTAGGAGGGGGAAAAATCCGACAATGAGCAATTAAGTGTTATGTAGAGTGACGAACAAAATAAGAGTGGTAGCAAAGCAACAAGGGCAGGGCACTGGAAAATTCAGAACGTGAAGCTACTGGACCATAGATGAATGGCTAATGAGCTGTCTGGGAAGACAAAGGCTGACGTCTTTTCCTAGAGATTTGGCCAGGCCTGGGTCCATGCTGGTTTTCCCTAAGGCATGCCAGGACACTTTTCTGCTGGGGACCATTAAAAAAATATATTTATTTTATTTTTTTAATGAATCACCGTGAGGTACAGTTGTAGACTTATATACTTTCATGCTTATGTTTCAGTCATACAATGATCGAGTACCCATTCCTCGACCAGTGCCCATTCACCACAACCAATATTCCCAGCATCTCTCCCACCACCCCAACCCCATTCCTCCCCCCAACCCCCCCTCTGTGGCAGGCGCATTCCCTTTTACTCTCCCTCTCCTTTTGGGTGTTGTGGTTTGCAATACAGGTATAAAGTGGCCATCATGTTCGGTCTATAGTCTATTTTCAGCACACATCTCTCATCCTGAGTCGGCCCTCCAAGCATCCTTTACTTGGTGGTCCCTTCTCTATCTGAGCTGCCTTTTCCCTGCTGGGGGCCATTTGAACACCTGCAACCTCACTGGCTCTATGATACAGGCAGATGGGCTGCAGCGGGCAGTGAGGCAGTTGATGAAAGAATATGCTTGTTCCCATCAGGTACCAGTACCAGCCCAGGATTTCAGAAACCCCGGGGCCTTCGTGTGTGGCATATCTGCTTCAAATCCTCTCCTAGGCGTCACTGAATTCCCTGTGAAGCTGAGAGCAAGCTCCATTCACCATGGGGTCTGTTTGTATGTATGCGTGTGATCAAGGCTGTTGTGGAAAAAAAAAAATGTTTTGCAAACCTTATGTATCACTAATGAAATCTACACAGGATGCAGAAAAGGAAAGGGAATATATATATATATATATATATATATATATATTTTAAATTTTTATAAGTGAAACACCATAAGGTACAGTTGTAGACTTACAAATTTTTGTGCTTGGGTTTCATTTATACAATGATCAAGTACCCATCCCTCCACCGATGCCCATTTTCCACCACTATGGATCCCAGTCTCCCTCCCCTCCCCCCCTGTGGGAGGGCATTCCCTTTTGTTCTCTCCTTTTGGGTGCTGTGGTTTGCAAAAGAGGCATTGAGTGGCAATCATGTTTGGTCTACAGTCTACTTTCAGCACGCATCTCCCATCCTGGGAGGATCCTAGAAAGGGAATATTTCTAATACTGGCATTTTAAATCTAGAACAGCATCAGCACCTAGTTACCCCAGTGATCCCAGAGATTACTACCCCTCCTCTTTCCTGAGAAACCGCCCTGAAATGAAGCAGACAAAAATCCTGACCCTCGAGGCCTAGGAAACAAACAGTGCTCCTCCCTGGGAAATGAACAGAGACAGGGTACAGGCACTCACTTGAAAGTCCTTAAAGTGAGACTGCTGGGCTAAGCTCCCAGCCTGAAAGCCAGGAGCATCTGGCTGCAGTGGGCAGACAGAGCCAGCGTGGACAGACACAGTCCGTCCTTTTGCGTTCTCTCAAGCCCCCACCCGTGTGCTCAGTCTGGCAAACCAAGGCGGTCGGGGGTCGCCCTAGGACACCGGGAGCCCGGCGCAGTCGCCTACTTCATGTTTGGTCTATAGTTATTTTCAGCACACATCTCCCATCCTGAGTCGCCCCCGCCCCACCATGCGCTGCCCAGTGCCCTGCTGGCAGCAACCTCCCTCTGCCCGGCTCCCTGCCCGGTGCCCAGCTCAATGCCCTGCTGGGCCCCGCTGGCATTATGTCCAGCCTAACACACTGCCCGGCGCCCCGTCCGGTGCCCGCTGGCAGCGCCCGCACCCCACGCCCCGCTGGCCGGACCCCCAGCCCGCGCCCTGCCCGCGCCCGGCCCCCACCCTGCCCGCCGCGCGCGCCGCACTGCGCATGCCCCTCCCTCCCTCCTTCCCTCCCGCGCGCGCGGCTCTCCCAGGCGGCCTCTGACGCGGGGCCTGCGCGGGGCGTCCTGGAGACTCCGGCGCGATGGAAGCGACGGCGCCGGCGGCGGAGGCGGCGGGCCCCGAGGAGCTGGGTGGGTAGGGCCGGGGGCGGGCGCGGGGCGGCGGGAGCGCCGGGCCGGGGGTGCCCGCAGGAGGGGCCAGCGGCCTAGCACCCGGGACGGAGACCAAGCGACTTCCCCGTTGCGGCCTCCTAGGGGCGCGGAGGGTTTGACTGGGAGCTGGGCAGGGACGGGTGCGTGGGGGACGAGTGAGGGATGGGGTGCTGGGACCTGGGGTGCGGGCAGGGAGCGGGTCCCTGTGCAGCGAGGGTGTGTGTGTACAGCGAGGTGGTGTATGTACAGGGAGGGGGTGTGTGTACAGGGAGGGGGTGTGTGTACAGGGAGGGGGTGTGTATATAGGGAGGGGGTCTGTGTACAGGAAAGGGCCTGTGTTCAGGGAGAGGGTGTGTGTCCAGGGAAGGGTCTGTGTAGGGGGGGCGTACAGGGAGGAGGTGTGTGTACAGGGAGGGTAGTATGTACAGGGAGGGGTCTTTACACGGAGGGGTGTTGGTACACCATTTGCCATGCATGTGCCAGGTGTGTGCAGGTGTGTGACTGTGCCTTGGGTGTGCTGGTGATGGGGCACCCCAGCCTGCAGTGTGACTTGGGGGGGCCTGACAAATCTGTCCAGAACTGTTTTGCTGCTTTCCTGGCCCAGGGACGGTAGAAGTTGTTTTAGGAACAAGATAAGGGTCTGGACAGTCATATCACTGTCCCGGGACTGTTTGGGTGTCATCCTGATTTGCTGGTGACTCCCTGTGAGGCCATTTGACAGGCTGATGTTTTCAGGTGATGTATGGCACGCCCTCTGCCTGGGTTTCTTCCGAGTATGATGAATGTCTACTGGCTTCCTACTTGTTGGGCTAGATGGAGGATTGGTCCCACTTCATTTTCATTTCATTTCATTTCATCATCCTGTTATTCGTCGATTGCTTCGAGCAGGCCCCAGTAACGTCTCTTTCATCCTAACCCTGAGATTATATTCAAGGCTCTTTAGGAGAATGAGACCCATCATTGTTACTGGTATTTGGCATATTTGGTACGCCATGGGGAGTTTGCCAGACTCTGCCCTGTGGGCAGGCTACATTCGATAGCCTGCAAGTTCGTCCAAAGTAGGAATGAGATAATAAGATGTCATAAAAAGATGTCCTGATAAGATGGCACGGCCGTGAATGCGGCCACGCGGTTCCGGGAGCTGGATTTTATAGTCTCTGAGTCTTGGCCGTTGATGGGATTACACGGCGCCAGGGGGCCAGGTGTGGGTGTGACCCCCACCTACTGGAATTTGGAGGATCTGGGTGGAGGATGCTCGACTCCAATCTGAGTAGGCTGGGAGATCTCGGCCCCGGAACCCGCGTGGATTTGTCCCTCTGCCAGTACCTTCATGTGTGCGGAGAGTGGTCTCAGCATGGTGGTGGCTGGTCCTGGAGGTCTTCGGCTGCCGGAGCCCTGGTCGGTAAGGGGAGGAAAGCTCAACCCGCTCCCCTCCAACGGGCCCCGGCGAGGAACAGCCAGGCGCGGGGGCAGAAGACTGCCACTTCATAGATACAGAAATTTCAAACTCACAAGTGGCAAGCCCCAGACTGGAAGCCAAGGGCATCTGGCTGCCGTGGGCACCTACCTGGCAAGCATGTGTCAAGATGTGTAAGAGGTGAACTGTGACATTTTCTGCTCAGATCCTTAGAGTGTACTTCATCCTTAAAAATGGCCCAGTCCTTTCCTGGCTTTTCTCCTCCTGGAAATACTTCCTGAGGAAATTACTCAAGAAGATGACTAATTATGAATATTTATATCAAAGGATGTTCACGGCAGTGTTTATTATGGAGAAAGCTGGTACTAGGAGAACAGGTCAGGTGGACAGTGAAGGAGCAGTAGAGTCCTACACTGGTAGCCACTGGAGGGGCTGTGTGCCTTGCCCGCCCCTGGTTCCAGCACCCCCACACCCCAGACAGCGGTGAGTGCATGGACACGAGTGTGACTGCATGCAGCTCATCACAGGTTGGTTGCTGTCATGGTCCCCCATGTGCCTCCGGGGGTGTGGGGGGGAGGTCCTGGAGGCCCTGACCCCAAGCACTACTGGGTGAGTCCGCAGGGTCTGAGCATCATGGCCTCCTTGGGCCCTTCACTTGGTCTCTGATGGTGGGCCAAGCACTCCACAAGTGGCCCTTAGGCATCCTGAGCACCACTTGGGAGGCCCCGCTGCCCCTCAATAAAACCTGAAGGCATTTGTGCAGTTCCTGAAGACCTGACAGGTGGGTGTGAACAGACAGAACAACCAGAATGGTTTCCAGAGAGACTGACTGGGTGAGAGGCTGGCAGAGAGGAGTGGGTGACCTGGGGTGAGCGCCTTGAAGGGTAGAAATGCGTCGGGAGACGGGATGGCACTTTTAGAACATGCCCGCAGAGCCCATGCTGGCTCTCCCCAGGAGGAGGGGCTTGGTTTCCAACACTTTCAATCCTTGCTTCTAAAGAAGAGCTGACAGTGGAAGTGGAAGGGTCCTGAAGGGCGTGCCCTGGTCTCTCTCCTGGACTTGGGGGGGGGCAGTATAGAAGGGCAAAGCTTAGCGGACATGGGCTTGTGGCGAAGGCCTGAACTTGTCACACTTGGTAGGTAGAGCTGTGAGCTGTCCAAGTACAGATAGCACAGAGTCGGTTAGACGCACGTCTGCAGCCAGTGCCAGGTGTCTGGAGATAGAACCTTGGTCACAACTGAGACTGGAAGAGATCATGGGGTTGGGAGGAGGAGATCAGGCCTGTGGCAGTGAGACACAGGAAAGGTCTATCTGGGTGGGAGGGAGCAAGCGAGAGCAAAATCGTGCAGGGTCGTGTATACATACAGGCTGTGGACCGACCTGCCATCGCTGAGTTCACTCCTGGCTCTCAGGCTTCATTTTCTTAAGGGTGGTGAGAGTGGGCATGTGGATGCACCACGTTTTCTTTATTCACTTCTCTGTCTGAACATCTCCGTCGTCTGTCGGTTCCGTGAGCGGTGTCACAGTGAGGACGAGTACTGATTTGTAGGGGCAGTCCTGGCAATGCTCGGCCAACTGGCTTAGACACTTCAGGCTGGAGACTGTCAGGAGACACTCAGGTACCTCACAGGGGCTCCCAGGCCTACCCTGGGGCTGCTCCTGCTACAGATGTGCTCCTGAGCCTGGCCTGAAGCGACGCTCTTGTCATAGGAGTGTCATGTAGGAGTTCTGGTTTTAAGTCTTTGAGAAACTTACATGCTGTCTTTACAGTGGCTGCCCTACGCTGTACTCTAGCCGACCGTGTGTGTGCTCTGATTTCTCCATATCTCACCAACGACTCCTGCTTCTGTCCTGCTGCACACGAGTGTACTCCTGCTGCATGACGGCTGTTTTGCATTTGCCTATGATTAATGACACTGAGCACCTTTCATAGTGTTAGCCAACACTTACGTCAAAGAAGTACCTATTCGTGCCTCTAGTGATAAGTTCACAAATTTATGGGTGTCTGATCTTCTACAAGGGTGAAGATTCTACACCCTTGTTTATTTATTCTACAAATAAGCAGCACATTCCAAAGGTTGAGTTGCTGCTGCAAGAGTAGGAGGAGGGAGGGCAGACCCCAGGCTCTGTCTGTACCCATAGCCAAGGAGGGAGGGCAGTTAATTCAGTTGTTAGATTTTAGTTCCCCGCTGTGAGTTGCAGGAGTCCTTGATATATTTAGGGACTTAGCCCTATTCAGGTATGTGGCTTGCAAACAGTTTATTTTGTTTTGGAGGTTGCCCTTTCTTCCAACTGATGGTTTTCTTTGCTTGGCAGAAATTTATTTTCATATCACCTGGTCTACTTTCACTTCTGGTGCCTGGGCTTTTCATGCCAAACCTGTACAATCACTGCCAAAACTTGTGTCACAAAACTTTCCTATGTTTTCTTTTAGGAGTTTTACAGTCTCAGGGATTATGTTCAAGTCTTTAATCCATTTTTAAGTGGCTCTTGTGAATGTGTGATAATGATCATTAAGCTTGTGTCCCCCCTCCCTTTTTTTGGAAAGACTTTCCTTTACTTCTTGCACTTTCTTGGTACCCTTGGAGAAGATCAGTCACCCATAAATTTGTGGATTTACCTGTGAACTCTCCTGTTCCATCGATTTTTCACGTGTTTTTATGCCAGTGTCATGGTATTTAATTGCAAAAGACTCCAAACAGCCAGAACAATTTTGAAAAACAACAACAAAAAACAACCTAATCATACTTTTTGATTTCAGAATATATTTCAAAAATACTAAAATGCTAAGGCATCTTCCAATGTCGTAAAGCACAACTTTACTTATGTAAAGCAAAAACCGGTACAATTAAGCACAGAACTTAATTGGAGCCATCTCCACCCTAATCTTTCTACCCCACCCCACAGACCTGTCCCTTCAACAAGGGACACACAGAAGCCCCTCACAGAAATACTTTTACTGGAGCCCAAGGACACTGCAGACTTCAGATTATCTGCAATTATAAAAATAAATGTTGGGTTGCTGCTGCAAGAGTAGGAGGAGGGAGAGAGGGCAGACCCCAGGCTGTAGAGACATGCCATGTAACTACTCTCACATAGTTCATAAAAAGTGACAGAAAGCCGTTAAGAAAAGGTCATTGTGGCAAAATGTTAAACATTGGTGAATCTGCCTTGCACACAGCTGGCCCTGGTTCCCCCAAGCACACCATGAGTGACCCTGAGCACAGCCAGGAGTAATCCCTGAGCACCAGTAGGCACTGACCCCAGAACCAACAAATAAGTTGTTAGGCTGGGCTGGGGTATACCTGGCTCAGTGGCAGGGTGCAAGCCTTGTGTGTGTCAGGTCTGGGCTTCCATTACAGGCCCTGTGAAAAAGAAAAAAGAGGAAACAGGGGATATTCATTCTGTAGAGTTCAAATGGCCTTAATTTTCCCCTTTGAATCCATGGGCCACACCCAGCAGCATGGAAGGCTCCAGGTTGAGCCCCAGTGCTTGAGGACTCACTGTGGTGCCAGAACTCACTCTGTCAAGCACAAGCCATGCTCCTTCTCTACCATGTGAGCCCATCCCAGATCTTAGAACTTCCATCAAGTTTTAGAAATTTGGTTGCCTCTAAAAATACAGCAAGATTTAAAGCTAACAAGTGATGAAAACACTCAATTTCTTCACATTTCTCATCCATTATTCTATGATCATTCTGCTCTAAATCACGTGGCTTTTTATTTTTAAAATTTAAAGTGCTGTAATTTACAAAGCTATTCATAGTTGGGTTTTAGATAATGTGATTATTATTATTATTATTATTTTTTAAATTGAATCACCATGAGATACACAGTTACAAAGCTGTTCTGGTTGGGTTTCAGTCATATAATGTTCCAACACCCATCCCTCCACCAGTGCACATTTCCCACCACCAGTGTTCCCAGTTTCGCTCTCACCACCACCCTTCCAGTCTGCCTCAATGGCAGGAACTCTCTCTCTCTCTCTCTCTCTCTCTCTCTCTCTCTCTCTCTCGCTCTTCTTTTGGGTGTCATGGTTTGCAATACAGATACTGAGAGGTTATCATGTTTGTTCCTTTACCTATTTAGCACGCAGTTCTTATCCAGAATGATAATTTCCAACTATCTTTGCCATCATGGCCCCTTTTCTGTCCCAACTGCCTTTCTCCCCCAGCGCTTGAGGCAGGCTTCCAACTGTGGATCAGACAAGTGATGTTTAATGTCAATTAGAAAAAGAACGTCAATTAGACAAAGACGTTTTGTATTGATACTTAGGCATTTTTGGGGGGGGGTCACACCTGGCAATGCACAGGGGTTGCTCCTGGATCTGCACTCAGGAATTACTCCTGGCAGTGCTCAGGAGACCATATGGGATGCTGGGGGTCGAACCCGTGTTGGCTGCTTGCAAGGCAAACGCCCTACCTGCTGTGCTATCGCTCCAGCCCCCGATACTTAGGCTTTTACTTTGCACAATTTAGTCAAATTAATATATATAGCAAATAGGCCTTGTTTGTCTTTTTCTTATTTTCTCTTCTTTTCTTTTTTGTTTCTTTTTCTCATTTTCACTGGGCCACACTCAGTAATGCTCAGGGCTTACTCCTGGCCCTGTCCTCAGAGATAAGTCATACAGGGTGCCCGGGGTTGAACCTAGATTGGCTGCATGGAAGGCAAGACCCAATGCACTGTACTCTCTAGCCCCTCATGTTTCCTTTTAAATGTACTAAATCTTGGGGGAATTAATGTACATTTTGGGGGGATGCAAGAGTAAAGGAGATCTGTTGCATTCCCTGTTATTTTGAATGATTGACCACCTTTACAGCAGGCTGTCTTTCTTTGTTAAAGACATGGACGTGATGAGGCCCTTAATCAGCGAGCAGCACTTCGATGGGACGTCTGACGAGGAGCAGGAGCAGGAGCTCCTCCCGGTCCAGAAGCACTACCAACTCCCGAGCCAGGCGGGCATTTCGTAAGTGCCCCCATGCTCACGCGGCTCCTTCTCACTTGCTGTCTCTTTTGGAAGCATCTTACACTGGCGGCTTGTCCTCGGGGTGCCACGGCCCATCTGGGAAAGCAGGAACCCACCTGCATGGGCACTCAGGATCGAGAAGGAAGAATGCCAAGAGAGCCGGCAGGCGGGGGCTGTGAAACACGGGACCATAAGAACTTGGATCTTGTCATTCGTGAACTGGAGGAAGTTCTCTCTATAGTTACAGTAATGAACAAACAAGGTGATGTTAAGTTTAAATGCTCAGAAAAGAATAGGTGAATACATCTGTAGGTTGGAAGTTTTGTTACAGATTGAAGATCTGGGCTGTTCTTAAGTTTAACTTTCCTTTTTGGTCAGGAGACCTCGTCCCGTCTTCTGGAGAGTTTTGCTTTAAGTGCAGTCCCTTAGGCCATATATTAGGATGCCTGAAAGTCACTCACATTCATCTGGTGATTCACAGTTCTAAGGTTTGTCCATTTTTCCTTAATACTCAAAAATCCAATGTGCTTAGAACAGCAATTACGTAGGCAGTGTTGATCACTGGTCTCACTTACCAACTAGCCACGTGTGATCTTCGACATTGTTCTGAAAACCACAGCCAAGTAGCTCGTGAGGAAATTACCTCTCCCGGCAAGCTACCGAGAGTATTCGATATGCCAGACACAGTAACAACAAAGTCTCCAATGGAGATGTTACTGGGCCCGCTCGAGCAAATCGACGATCAACGGGAGGGCCTTTACCTTTACCTTTACCTCATTTTTATTTTTTAAAGTTTTTTTGGCCACACCTGCTCAGGGACTGCACTTAGATCCAAGCTCAGGGGCTCCTCCTGGTGGTGTTGAGGGGTAGTGCAGTGTGTTCTCCAGCCGCTGAGCCAGCATCTAGGCCACCTTTTATTATCGTAATAGGAAAGTACTTTCAGTTAAGTATTTCATTTAATCTACACAATAATCCTCTGTATTTCACTTTTAAGTGGCAAATAAAGGACATAAACACTATGACTTTGAGCAATTCAACTTCTGGTTGAACGAAAATGTTCTTTGACTTCTTGCTTAATTTTCTGTTCTCATCTAATACCAAAAGATGAGGAGAATTTAACAGATTATACTCTAAACTGTTTAAATCTTGAATTTTTATTTTTCAGATTTGTACAAACTCTTATGCATCTTCTCAAAGGAAACATTGGGACTGGCTTGTTAGGACTTCCATTGGCCATAAAAAATGCAGGAATAGTGGTAAGACTCATCCTTGCAATCTCTATTTAAGATAAAGTTATCATCTTAATTTGTAGCAGAAATCACTGCCTGAAAACATCTGCCCAAATTAAATATGACCTGATCAAGTAACATATCACTTAGCTTCTGTATTGATCAAATTATGTAGGGGCCGGAGCAATACTGCAGAGGATATGGCATTTGCCTTACACGAGCTCACCTGGGTCTGATTCCTGGCACCCTATATGATCCCCCAAGCCTGCCAGGAGGGATCCCTGACTGCAGAGCCAGGAGTAAGCCCTGAGCACTGCTGAGTGTGGCCCAAAAACAAAACAGACAAAAAAGTGGAATCGAACCCAGGTCGACCGCGTGCAAGGCAAACACCCTCCCCGCTGTGCTACTGCTCCAGCCCTACTCAGCCACTTTTAATTGTCTAGTTTTAAGAAAAAGTTTTATCAATTTCCACTGTATATGACTTTCTCCAGCCTAATTTAGAAATATTTAACATTTCTGACCATGATATTTTGTGTCTCAATATCCACATTTCACTTAAAAAATTTTACATGCAATTTTTTCACACAGTTATTTTCTATGCATAATTCCTCACTCTAGCTGCTACAAGTACCGACAGCCATGTTCTGCCCAGTGGGTCGAGTGTGTTTTAGCATTCAGATTATGTGTCAGACTTGTTGGTGAATTATAATGGTGGGAGACCACCATCAGACATTGATTTTGTTATATTCCTTCCTACTGATATGTATTCCTATGTGAACGGGTCTGGTAGCTGAGTTGATAAGCTGCAGTTACCACAGACAGTGAAACTGAAATTCTCTGTATAAATTTTATTGTTTTTCTTATGCAGATGTTTTTCTTATGCAGATGACTAATAACTTTTCCAACAACTATTTCTTCAGTTGAATAGTTTATCACCTTATTGTCTATAAGGCTACTCTGTGACATAAGTAACCCTTGTACATTTCCTCCTGCAGCTGGGACCCATCAGTCTTGTGTTTATAGGGATTATATCTGTTCACTGTATGCACATTTTGGTACGTTGCAGTCACTTTCTATGTCAGAGGTAAATATGGATTCATTAAGTCTATTTGTTTTATAGCTACGTATTTATTTAAAGCATAAAATAATTGTATACTTCTACTATATGTTACAACTGAATTTTTATGTACTCTGTTACAAAGGCAAGTCTAAGATAATAATTATGAAAAATCATAGCATTCCATTTTATTTGAATCTGGTCTGAATATATGTGGTTCTCTTAAAATATAACTTTTATCAAAACAGGGTGTCTTTTTATTCAGTGTAAATGAGAAACTCAGGAAGAAGAGGGAACAGAGGAAGCAGTAAGATTTTTTTGGGGGGACCACACCTGACAGTGCTCAGAGGTCACTCCTGGTGGCCTCAGGGGCCATATGGGGTGCCGGGGACTATCACTTCATATTATCACTTCCGACCCAGCTGTAAAATTTTTAACTATGACTTTTAATCTTTAGTTTATTAGTAATTCAGTTTTGAGTATAAAGCCTTTGGTGTTTTTTGTTGGTATGAAGTTAGTAATAGTCAATAAAATAATTTTTCCTTTTTGTATCCTAAAACTGCTTCTACCGAATAATGGCCAATTAAAATACCTATTACAGTAAACTAATATCTTAAAAAATTTAGACATCCTTGGAGCTGTCTTTTTAAATGTTCTCAGAATTGAAGGCGAGTAATTTCTGATCTTTAAATAACAATAAGTATACTTGAGGAAAAGGTTGGGTAGAAAACAGAGGGAAGCAGTGCCTTTCTAATGGGGTTGTCATGCGGGCTGAATGTGAAATTATTATTCAGCCTTGTACAGATGTACTAAGGAATAGGGGCCGGAGTGATAACAGAGCTGGTAGGGGGCTTGTCTTGCATGTGGCCAACTGGGTTCAATCCCCCACATCCCATGTGGTCCCCTGAGCCTGCCAGAGTGTAGAGCCAGGAGTAACCCTGGAGCACAGGTGTGTGTGGCCTAAAAAAGAATGGAATAATTGAGATGGTATAGACATGACTCACTGTGGTTGATGTTTTGTTGGTTTTTGTTTTCGGGCCACAGCTGGTTGTGCTTAGGGCTTACTCCTGGCTTTGTGCCCAAGGATCAATCCTGGTGGGAAAGGAGAACCATATGGGGTGCTGGGGATTGAATCCAGATTGGCTGCATACAAGGCAAGTATGCAGCCAACCCTACCCACTGAATGATCCTTCCAGCCCCTGGAAGGATATTTTAGGTAGTGAAATATACAAACTATTTAAGCACAGTAGGTTAAAAAATAAAATATTGTTTTAAGAGGATGGAGATAAAATGCTGAATTTCATGAGACACACCTTAGGAGTTAGCAGATCTTGAAAATTTGAAAACTCATGGCTAGTGCTTGGGAATTCATTAATAATTGCAACCAGTCTCACAATAGAGACGTTACTGAGCCCGCTCGAGCAAATTGATGAACAACGGGAGGACAGTGCAGTGCTACAGTTTATTTGATTTTCTTTTTGAGGGATGGGCTTTTGGATCAGCTTCAAGTTCTTGTTTTTCCTATGTCTGATTCTTATTACTCACAGGTTTAAAAAACCCACATTAGGCTACAGTGACACTGTGAGCTATGCGATGGAAGCAAGTCCTTGGAGCTGCCTTCAGAAGCAAGCAGCCTGGGGAAGGTGAGGGCCCTCTGTTACTGGTATGTGGTCATCAGAACACCAGCATCTCTGTAGATCTCACTTCTGCCCGGAGATGCTCAGCGGGGCAGTGTGGCCATGCCAGTGCGCAGGGGGAAGAGTCCGTCTTTAGGTAGTTTACCAAGAGGACACATAAGTAGCTTATAATAAAACAGGCCAATAAACGGTCTTCAGGGTTAGACAGACTTGGATTAAACTTAACTTTGAATCTCAACTTACAAAATAAATCTATAATAAATTTAAAAATTTTCAATTTTATGATCTAGCTCAAGTCATTTTTCATCTTAGTTATATGCACATAGACATCTGTGGGATATATTTGAACAAAATCCTATTTTCTTATCATTCGGTTTAAATGGAAATTTATCTTTGGTGGAAGTGACAAATCAAAGTCAGCTATGTGCAGGACCAGGAATAAGACCAATCAAAAGCTGCTGCCGACAGTACAGTGATGTTGTGGCGGGTGGAACGAGAAGCAGTCTTAGTACTGTGTGGTGCAGTATGGCCTTTCTGGGATCTCCACCTTTGCTGATGAGCTGCTTCTGAAGCTCCTCTATGTTAAACAGGAGAAGGAAGGATGTGTTGCTGAATGCTCCCAGGGTCCTGCCTCCAGGCACTCTGACCTACCCAGCAGAGATAAGTGGCTGGGATGGCCGTTGGTAGGACACTCAGTCAAAGGAAGATGAAGAGATCTTGAGGGAATATCTGAATGAAATTCATCAGAGAGAAGTATCACAAACTTATTCCAGAGAGCCAAAATTACTTACAAATGAGGCCCTGAAGCACCAGTGACAACAGTAGAGTTACGGCCAGAGAAGACAGGCCAAGTAGGGTGGGTGTAGAGGCTGGAGTTGGTGGCCAGACGCAGATGGTCTAGCAGCCCGACATGGAAGACTGGGCAGGACAGAGACCTATTACTGCATGTGGCTAGAGGGCTACTGGCTGTTCCTTGAGCAAGATGGAGGAGGCACTGTATGTTCATCTCTAGTCAGATCTGTTACTTCATTACCTGCCTGAGCCAAATAACTGGAAGTGATTTTCAGGTGGAGTCCCTTCTCCACTCCTATACACTGCTAGTGTAGGTAGAATTTTCTAGAAGTTCTGTTTTAAAAATGAGATAAAAGACAAACTACTGGAGAGGTCTCTAATGGTGAGTAAGGACTGTGCCCTCATCCACGGCACACTCATCTGTTTTGAAAAGGCATGAAGCTGGGTGTTAGGGGCAAGTAGCAGGCTGATGTGAAGGAAAGTCTTGACAAGTAGGAGACGGGCTGCACCTGAAAGAGGAAATGGCATGTAGTAATTTCATAAGTAGATACCTAATGATGGGGCAATTTTTGCCTTTTAACGTAATGGAACATCCTTTTGCTCAATCAACCCTAATGATATACAATCTCAAGTGTATGATCTTTGTATTAAATATTTTAAGTGTGTTTGGTATTTAACAAAGTAAAGTGCTAACAGAGTATGTGCTATTATAAAATGTTTACAAATATTTAAAAAGACAAAATACATTGATATTTCAGCAGTTCCTAGTGATATTAATGACTATCTCTTTTCAGGAGTGTGGTTGACTTTTTTCTCGTGATAACACAGCTGGGATTCTGTAGTGTTTATATTGTCTTCTTAGCTGAAAATGTGAAACAAGTGAGTACTGCTGCTGTCCAGTCAGTGAAACCATTTCCTCCAGTGCTCCATCATGGCATGGCACTGTATTCCCTTTGAGCAGGCAAAGGCTGATATAAAATGTGTTTCCATAAATGATGTCCCTCTGTAGATTACCCTTTGGTCCTATCTTTTGCTATTGGGCTTCTGTTATTGTTGATTTTACTGTTCTTGTTGTATTAATAATGCTTATTCTTTCAGATCAGAGAGGATATGATTTACTGATTCTTAGCTACATGAAATTTAGATCTCAAAAGCAGATATGCAGAGGTTTGAGAGTATATCCTTTACAGTGATGTTCTAAAATGAAATATGTAAAGCTTTAGCCAGTTGCCTACAAAGTGAAGTAAAGGACCAGGTATGTAGCTCAAATGGTAGAGCACATGCCTTGCACGTGGGGCCCTGGGTTCCATTGTACCATGTGGTTCCTTTGTGTACAGCTCTGCTGAATCTAGATTGCCCTGGTTGCTTCTGAGCACTGTGAGGATGTCCTCTTGTCCCCCCCACCCCCCCAAATGAAGTAAAAACATGGGATTGCTGGAAAGATAGCAGAGCAGGTAGGGCACCTGCCTTGCCTGCTGCCGGACCCAGGTTTGATCTCTGGCACTATATATTATCCCTGAGCCATCAGTAGTGACCCCTGAAAGCAGAGCTGGGTGTCAGTCCTGAGTATTGCTGGGTATGGCCCTCAAACAAAACAAAAAATGGGGATTTACTTTAAAGAAACACCCAAAGCAAAAAATCACCCATCAGTAATTATTGTATTGTGTCCAGAAATGTAGAGGCCTCTCAGCTTCCTTCCATATTGTGACAGTTTGCTGTAAAAGAAAGTAGTGTGCAGTCCTGGCTGAGGCTGACTGTTGAATTGGACAGACATGCAAAGCACTAAAATTAAAAGTTCCATGTTAAAATCATGCTTGAGTACTCTCCTTTACATCTGGTATTTTGCCCCCTGCCTTTCCTCAATCATTAATTTAATCAAAAATACTTATTATCCATTGTCTATGGTAAATAATTGTCATTACAGATAGCAATAATAATAATCTGTAGTATTTGTATTTTAAGGTAGAATTATTTGAAGTTTTCCTAAAGAACTTACATGAATATATAAGCATATGCTTGACTAGTATTTCTATGCATCATTTTATGTTTAGACTAAAAGTTAGTAATCTTTTTTCTGTAAAGGGCCAGACTGTATTTTTAGCTTTGCAAACCTGATTTCTATCTCAGCTCTGCTACAAACAGCAAGATGAAAACCCAGAGTGTGTCTGTATTTTCATTAATATTCTATTTGTGAACACAGCGGGAAGGCCAGGTATGGGCTGGGGTCTGATACCCTTGATCAGTGTATGCCTGTATGCTGTATTTGAACCACTAGTTTAGACTGTGATGTCGGAAAGGCTCATTTAGTCAAGTCCTCCTATAGGGAAGAGTTCTCTTAAGTCAGGGATGGTACCTGTTTTTCTGCCAAGAGCCATCTGGCTATTTATAACATCCTTTGTGGACCAAACAGTATAGGTAGACAGTCTGCAGTGGGAAGCGAGAGCCAGGCCCCTTATTCCATTCCTGCCCCTGTAAAGGATCATGGACAGTCAGGGTGGACTTAAGAAAGGCAGCTTTAGTCGGTGCAAAAGTTGAAGACTTTGTTTGAATTCCATATTCTGTGAAACTTTCCTCACTGTCCCTTCCACCCGGTCTTTACCTCTTGTAGGGCTTGCTGATTCATCTTCTGGCTTCTGCAGCATTTTTAAACATTGCCTTAATCACAACACAGCAGTTGATTTCACACCTGTGCTCAGGAACTTCAAAGGCAGGACCCTGAACCAGATGTGCTAACCACTGTCAACTGTCCTGGACAGTACAGGTCATGACAGGCATGGGGTGAGGGGATTGGACCAGAAGGGAAATAAGCTTTTGAGAGTGGAAAGTGATCTTTGTTACCTCTCCATCTCTGAGCTCTAGCATTATACTTGACTTTCTGAGAAAATGTTCAATACATTTTGTTTACCGAATGGGTTTGGCCTTTCTGCCTGCCTGATTCCTGTAAAAATGTTCCAACACCCTTGTCTTCCATTTTCTCTGTGACCTCTTCTCTTTCACTTGCAATATGGTTGTTTTATGCTGGCCTCACATTTCCACAGTTATTGTGTCTGTAAAATGAACATCTCTTGTGTCAGAGACGAGATTCACAGCCAAATGGGCGCTTGATGCTGTCTAAGCCCTGAGAGCCCCAGATCTCTTTCTGAAAAGATGTTTTCTCAGTTTTATTATTATTTCTTTCCCCCCCAAATATTCTACTTTCAAATGTTTCCTTGCTTCTTTTGATCCTTACAAACAAATTCTTACATAAGTTGTTCTAGCAAAGAATCTGGTCCAAGCCCTTGCTTTCCTGGTAAAGTTTTCCCTCAAACATTTTCACCATTGGAGCCAGAGCGATAGTACAGTAGAAAGGGCATTTGCATTGCATGCTGCCGACCCGGAGTTCGATCCTCAACATCCCATATGGTCCTCCCAAGCACCACCAGGAGTAATTGCTGAACACAGAGTCAGGAGTAACCCCTTAGCATTGCCGAGTGTGACCCAAAAAGCAATAAATAAATTCACTGTTTAGAACAGGGTGAGTTTTCACAAAGAGAAAGAGAAAGAGGAGGTGGAAGAGAACAACAAACAGTAGTTAGAATCCTACATAAGTGCAAAGAAAAGAATTAATGCTTTCATTAGCACTACTCATAACGGGTGACATGCTTTGATTTGACAAGTACTTAATTCCACAAGCTGCATTTCCCCTGGACTGTTCAGTTGAAAGGGTTTTCTTGTCAAGAACTGGTGATCCACTCCACAGAAAACACTGGAGATGACACCTTTCTAACTGCAGCAGCACCATGGTTTTCTTCTCTCAGCTCCTGGGAGAGCTAGCGGCAAGCACTACTGAGTAATCACCACATAATGTAAAACTAGGACACATCACATCACCTTTAAGAGCTACTCTGTAATGTTACTCTATGCTCACTCTTGGAATGAGAAAACTGAGTTTCACAAAGCACAAGAAGTGCTTTAAGTGCTTTAAGAAGTGACTTAAGTCCCAAGAATGAGGCTGAAACCAAGGTCTCTGAGACAGCTGCCAGGCACTGTGAGCTGCCCACCACCAGATCTATCTCTTTCTCTCTCTCCCCCCCTCCTGTATCTATCTATATATGTATATATATGAATAAACGGAGAAAATAAGTGTCTACAAGCTTAGGAAGAGTGCTCTTCTATGGTATCTCAAAGATCAGTTGAATGGAAAAGTTTACTTCCTTGTACCAGGGAAGAGGTGGAAAAAGTGTTTCTGTGACCTAAGGAAGTAGAGCGATTGACACCCCTTGAAGCATAAGAAGCAACAAGAAGAGACAAGCTTTCACCACTGCACTACAGACAGGTGGCCCCTCGAGGCAGTGTGTGAGACTCCCGCTGTCCCCAGGGCGTGCCTTCAAGGCTGGCAGACATTCGGGTGAGGTGACTTTACCAGTTCCCTTTGCTATGGGCAGCAATGGGAGACTGGACTTTCTCAGGAAACTGAGGGTGGTGCCCCCACCAAAGGACGAAGAGTCTCACTGTCATATAGATGGGGGCCACGTGAACCTCTGGTGGGGCAAGGACCCCAGAGCTCCCACTGATTCTGTCCCTGGCAGCTTCTATCTGTTTGTTCTTCAGAAGGTTTCTGATCAAACAATGAAGAGTGGGGAAGAGCAGAAGCAATGTCACGCTCTACCCAAGGTTATGAGCTTTGGTGTCAGGGAATCTGAAGTGCTGATCTGCTCCTCTCCTCATCCCCATCCTTATTCATAAATGGGAGCAGTTTCTTGTCGAGCTGTCCATGGCTCAGCTGACACATGCTTGTGAGCACTTTAGTAAAAAGCGAAACAATATACAAATGGAGGCTCTTACAGCTTGACTGCGTTTGAGCTTTGCTGGAAAAATAAATCTGCTTTTGGAATTTTAACCATGACATTACTGAATCACCGAGAAATTAGCAGATTTCAGTGAGCTTATGCTCTAAATGAAAACATCTGAATTTGGTAATTTTGTATTTGTGTGTTTTGCATTTGGTAAACATGTGAGATCATAGGAATCAGGTAAGATAGGGTTGTGTAGGGTAGCCAGTCTGTTTAGAGGGCACCCAAGAACTTAAATGTTTACCTCAATCTCCCTCTAGGTGTGTATACGCATTTTATTTTCCAATCCTGAACTTTTATAATAATCTTTCTGATAAGGAATTATAAATTATTATGAATCTTGTGATAACATTATTTACAATTTCTAAGAACCCACTGAATAAAAATCCTAGAAATACCGCTTGCTGGCTTGATAGATTTCTACACACACACACACACACACACACACACGCACACACACGCACACACACACACACTCTTTCTCTTACTCTCTCTCTCTCATACCCTTAGTTTCCTCAAGTAGAAGCTGAAATCAATATCCTTATCAACTGCAGAGGGCTTTTTAAATGGGGGGGGGTGATTTTTGTGTTTATAGGATAAAATGATGTCTTATGTATATGACAGTACCAGGTACTGAGAAAGTACTCAGAAATGCTATTACGGTAGGGTTTGGCTCTTAAGAATTTGTATATCTAGGGTCGGAGAGAGTACAGTGGGGAGGGTATTTGCCTTGCATACAGCCTAATCAGGTTCAATCCCCAGCACCATATGTGGTGACTTGATCCCTTCAAGAGTGATCCCTGAACCCAGTGCCAAGAGTAAGCCCTGAGCACAACTGGATGTGGCCCCAAAACCAAAAAGGAAAAAAAAGAATTTATAGATGTAGAGGCATGATATTTTCACTGTGTTCAGAGCTGGTTCATGTTGGGGGCAAAAAAATCTGATTTTCACTGATAATTATAGCATGAGCTGCCTCTGCTGTGAGGTTTTAAAACTGGTTTGAAACTCCTCTATAATTCCATTTCGAGTTTATAACACACACACACACAGAGAGAGAGAGAGAGAGAGAGAGAGAGAGAGAGAGAGAGAGAGAGAGAGAGAGAGAGAGAGAGATCTGCCATAAGCCATAGAGGCAGGCTGGAGTATGTGAAGGAGGTGATGGGAGGGAAACTGGGGACATTGGTGGTGGGTAATGTACACTGGTGAATGTACAGGTGTTAGAACATTGTATGACCGAAACCCACATATGAACAAATTTGTAACAGTGTATCTCACAGTGATTTGATTTTTTTTTTAATGTAGGAGTACGGTTATTTATTCATCCACTGATTAGGCTGATTGAATTGGGCATTAACTCCACAGTGATTCGATTTTTTTAAAAAATGGAAAAATACCTATAAGTGGGTTAGAGACAAATTTTAATATATCTCATTTGAAAAGTAAATACTGATAACATAAATGGCTGAATAAATTTTAATTCTCTGGAGTTTATTTTGGGGGGCCCTCCAGCCCCCGAGAATGTGGCTCAGTGTGAAAGCCTGAGGATGTGGTACTGCTGGGGCCATGCAGTGCTAGGACTACCAGGCCATCCTTGGGGTTCTTAGGGGCTCCCAGGGCTATACCCAGGGATGTTCAGGAAACACTGGGGTGCCAGGGATCAGTAAGGGCTGGCTGCACGCAAGGCATGGGCTCTAACTCCTGTACTAGCTCTCTGGCATAACTTCAGTGGTTAGCATATATCCATGTGTAAATTTAGTGTATTCTTAATTAATATGGATAGTTGTTTTATTTTAAAATGGCTTTAATGCTTGGCTGTGATTTCTGGGTCTTATTTTGGCTCTTATGTGTTGCTGAGAGGCAGTGGAGTTTATTTCCTGCCCTATAAGCAGTCAGCTGGAGTGAGACCAGCCAGTGGCATCTACACTAGCTTCAGCTCTGATGGTCTCAGAGAGGCCTGGAGCCTCTGGCCTGCCGGGACCACAAGCAAGACAGTCACAGGCTGCAAAATGAATGAGGAGACCTACCCACATACCTTTATAGTAAACTTTCCTATGTGAAAGAAGAATTTTTCCAAAGACTATCCTGGTTTATTTATTCCTGATGTAGATATGATTATGTAGATGTATTTTTAGGAAGATAAAGTGCCTGGAAGCAGTGTAAATGTTTTACTGTAGAGGAATCTAGCAGAGCGTGTCTTTCAGTCATTTCTGTCTTTTATGAGGGGAGCTGATGGGAGTCTCCCCTTGTCCACCTCCTGATATTTCAATATAGGTTCATGAAGGATTCCTGGAGAGAACAGTATTTGTTCTGAATGGCACCAATTCGTCGATACCATGTGAGAGAAGTATTGACCTCAGGACATACATGCTTTGCTTTCTTCCATTTATAATTCTCTTGGTCTTCATCCGTGAACTGAAGAATTTATTTGTGCTCTCGTTTCTTGCCAATTTGTCCATGGCTGTCAGTCTTGTGATCATTTATCAATATGTTATCAGGGTAAGTAAGACATGTTTGAACTGAATGCCATGCTTAAATTTTTTATTTTACTTTAAAGATAAAATAATAATATGTAAAGATTCAACCTATACTTTATATGTGACAACCAAGAGATAATCAGTAAATTTTGGATTCCTTTTAGGAGATTCTGCTTGGAAAAAAGTATAACAGAAATTGAAGGCACAGGCTTAGAGATCAGATCTGGCCTGAATGTCATTAAATCTGCTTCTATCTTTTTGACAGTGCTTCAGAAGATTGTAATAAGCACTTATTGTCAGATTAGAATCATGCCTCCAATTTTGCCTAACACAGAACAATGGACTCAGTGTTATATTTCAGTCACTGTCCAGATGGGAGCAGAGGGTAGTGTTATAGTTTTCTTTCACTTCTAGAACTTTATTTGTCTTATGTACAAACACATTCCTGTACTACTTTGCCTTAAGTATGCAAGAACTTTAACATTTTATTGTTACAGCCTGAGTATTTTGTTTTGGGGCCACACCTGGTGGTGTTCAGGGATTACTCCTGCTCTATGCTCAGGGATCACTCATAGAAGTGCTCAGGTTACCGTATGGTTTGCCAGGGTTCAAACCTGGATCGGCTGTGTGCAATGCCAGCACTCTGGCCCCGCCTGAGGATTTTTAACCCAGTTCTCCAGTTTCCTTAAAAGAATCTGTTGATGGGATTTGCAAGTTCCTAACATTATTTGCATATCTTAGAGATCTGCAACTCCTTAACATTAGTTGCTGGATTCAGTGCATCTGAATTGGGTGTACATGTGCACTGTGTGCAAATCTGCACTGACCAGTGTTACTAGCATTGAGTGTTTCTGTGTGCTTTCTCTGAGCAGCTGTACACAGCTTTCAGTTCTCAGAGGAGCCACCGGTGTCCCTAAATACCAAGAATACCTGTTCTGTTCTTCCTGATCAAATCTGTCTTGTATTGTTGCAAATGAATTGTTCTAAAATCTGCAGCAGTAGGGCTGGAAAGACAGGTCAAAAGATTGAGCACATGCTTTTTTCAGCCCTCAGTTTTATTTCTGTCACCACCTGGTCCCCTGAGACGTCCAGGAGTAGCTCCTAAGCACGCTGGGTGTGAAAAATAAAAGTTCCCAGTAGCAATTCATACAAACTCTTATTGGTGGTGTGGCAGTGGTGGTGGTGGGGCTCTAATTTTCGCCTCTCAGATTTTTAAAACTGGATCGTCTCTTATAGAATGAAGAGTGGGAGGGACTGGTATGAAAATTTCATAAGATTTTCATGACTCCTTTGCTGAACTTGTCAAAGTTAGTGGAGGCAAAAGGGAGGTTCTCTAGGAAGATGGGATACTGTGAGCCTTGTTTAAGAGTTCACGGTTATGAACTGATCCACATATTTTCAAGCTCTTTCACTTTTTCTGTCATGTATCACCACTATCTCACCCAGTTCTACATATGCTTCCTATATTCTAACTGTGCCCAAATCGGCCATGTGCTTTCTCACTTGGCCCATGTAGTTTTCCTTTTTCCTGTCCTTGAATTCCATTTCCCATCAGGTAAGGCAGAGAACACAGAATCGCTAGGAGAGGAGAGACCAGACTTGGGGTGGCTGGAAGAAGTTTCGCCATTGCGAAACTAAGGACTTGAACAAGTGTAGTTGGTGAATTTCCAGAGAATGCAGTGGAACAAGGCTATGGGCTAGGATAATGGTTGCCTCCAGGTCCATCTAAAAGTAGAAACTGGAAACCAGAAGAGACCTGTGCTAAGGAGCACAGCAGAAAGCCAAAGTTAGGAAAATTGAAAGATCAATGAAGGTGAAGTGGAGAGTGATTCCCATTGTTAGCAGTGATTGATGACTAACTCTGGCTCTCACTCTGTCTCAATTTCTTGCTGCGGTAGGTGTTTGGTGTCTTGGCTACATTCAGTGTAGTATATAATATTGTTAAAATAATTATTGCTCACTTTATTTGGGAGGGGGCGTGGTTGGAGCCACACCTGGCTGTGCTCGGGGCTTACTCCTGGCGTTGTGCTTTGGCATCATTCCTGATGGTAGAGGAACCATAAATGGTGCTGAGAATCGAACCTGGATTTGGCCTTGTGAAGGCACGTGCCTTACCTGCTGTTTGTCTCTCTAGCCATAGAATTACGTTTCTTCTTTTGTTATCTTAAGTTTTGTTTTTATGAATTACTCAATTTTATAACACATTATTCACTGTTGCGAAGTTCAGACATGTTACATATTTTTCACTTTCACTTTTAACACAATAGATGTAATCTGTCTTCTTTATTTTTTTTCCAGAATATGCCAGATCCCCACAACCTTCCAATAGTGGCAGGCTGGAAGAAATACCCACTCTTTTTTGGCACTGCTGTATTTGCTTTTGAGGGCATAGGAGTGGTAAGGATTTGATCTTTAATTAGGATATTTAAAGGTCCTTGATTAACACACAGATTTGTATATTTGAGCTACATTAGAAATGCTAGGTTTGGGGCAGATAAATACGAGTTTCTTTTTCTCTCTGCAACATTTTTTTTGTGGGGGGAGGGCACACCCACAGTACTCAGGAGTTACTTCTGGCTCTGCACTCAGGAATCACTCCTGGTGGTGCTCAGGGGACCATATGGAACACTGGGGATCAAACCCCAGTCGGCCAAGTGCAAGGCAAGTGCCCTACAAGTATTATCACACTGGGACCTCTGTAATTTTTTTATAAATCTAAAATTACTCCGACCTAAAAAGTTTATTGTACAAAAATGATAAAAAGGTTTGACTGCTAAGAAATAATTTCAAATTTTCCTGTTTTTTTTCTCTTTTTTGGGGGGGTGGGGTTTCTGTGGTATCTTGCATGTAGAAAATACTTCAACATCAAGGGTAAATTTAAAGGGAAGAAGATAAATTTGTATTGGAAGATAGGATACTGAGTATTTGGAGTTACTTATATTATTCTCTTTGTAGGTCCTTCCACTAGAAAATCAAATGAAAGATTCCAAACGCTTCCCCCAGGCGCTGAATATCGGCATGGGGATTGTTACAGCTTTGTATATTACATTAGCTACCTTAGGGTATATGTGTTTCCGTGATGAAATCAAAGGTAGCATAACTTTAAATCTTCCCCAGGATATATGGTAAGTAGATATGAGTTTGTTAATCCTTGTTTATGTTCTAAATATGTCTGGTGATCTATGTGGTGCAAGAATATTTGCTGTATAGATTAATGATTTTCACTTTTGTGAATTCTTCATGCCATCAGAATTCTTGCCTTCTCTTATTTACAAAAGGTAAAGGTAAAGGTAAAGGCCCTCCCGTTGATCGTCGATTTGCTCGAGCGGGCCCAGTAACGTCTCCATTGGAGACTTTGTTGTTACTGTGTCTGGCATATCGAATACTCTCGGTAGCTTGCCGGGCTCTCCGAGAGGGGCGGAGGAATCGAACTCGGGTCGGCCATGCTGGCCGCTTGTAAGGCGAACGCCCTACCCGCTGTGCTATCGCTCCACAAAAAAAAATCTTTATAAAAATATACTGAAGAAGAAGTTCCTGATGATGGTAGGAAGTGCCCTAATTCCAAGGCTGCTATCCTGGAGGGGGCAGCAGGGTGAGGGACAGCGGCCTCAATGGCTATAGGAAAGCTCTGGGCTTGGCAGATGATCTCTGGAGGGTGCCCTTGGCCAGCCCTAATTCCGGCCCATCCTGCCCTTTCCCCATTCCCCTCCCACCTCTTACTGTCTACTGCTGCGATTTTCCGCTAAGAATGAAGCTAGCTCATTATCTTGATTTAAAGTGAACATATATGGTGCACGTAGAGTTAGACAGCTATAAACTGCAGAGCCAATGACACTGAGAGCATGAGAGCGAAAGAACCAGAGCGAAGGTGTGCCTGCCAAGTAGGCCGCACCTGGGGACACTGGTGGAGGGAGGCCGACACTGCCAGGGGACAAACCACACTGGAACACTGTGCTCCTGAAATTCAACTATGAATAACTATGTTAATTATGGTGCCTTAATATTTAATTTAAAAAACTGTTTTGGTTTTTGGGCCCCACCCGGCAGAACTCAGGGCTCACTCCTTGCTTTGTACTCAAGAAATCATCCCTGAAGGGCCTGGGAGATTCTGTGGGGTGTTCAGGATCACAGGGATGTTTCGGTAGCCATCTGGAAGGCAAGCATCCTACCTGCTGTGCTGTCTGTTCTGCCCTAAAAAATTTCTTTTAAAATAAAACTCTTGTAACAGAAAATAGATTGATATTTCCCAGAGATATAAAGAGAGCTTAGTAAAAGGTCACAAACATTCCGCTGTAAGATGAGTGTGTTTGAGGACCTAATATGTAACCTGAATGATATTCAATTACACTGTATGTTGTTGATCTTGTTTTGGGGTCTTTGGGGGCCACACCTGGCAGTACCCAGGGACTACTCTGGTTCTGTGCTCACTTCTGGTGGTGCTTGGAGGACCAAATGTGGTGTTGGAAATCCAGCTGGGGCCAGCCACCTGCAAGGCAAGCACCTTAACCCTCCAACCCAGTATATCATTTAGTTGAAACTTGCAAAGTAAGAGTAGAACAATTTTTTCTCATCCACACCCCCACAAAGCAAGTAAGCAGGATTAGACGTATTCATTAGCAGGTTGGAGGAATCCTTTCAAGGTCTAACAGGAATCAAACCACACTGGACACATTAAATACATTGTGATTTGTCACTTGTACTAAAATAAGCTAAAAAACCTGACTAAATTTTGAATTTTTTAACAGGTTATATCAATCAGTGAAAATTCTATATTCCTTTGGCATTTTTGTGACATATTCAATCCAGTTTTATGTTCCAGCAGAAATTATTATACCTGTAGTAACAGCGAAATGTCATGCTAAATGGAAACAAATTTGTGAATTTACTATAAGGTCCTTCTTGGTTAGTATTACTTGTAAGTATCACTTTATATTTTTATAATTAACCAGATATATATATATATATCCACCCAGATATATATATATATGTGTGTGTGTGTATATATATATATATAGCACTGTCCTCCCGTTGTTCATCGATTTGCTCGAGCGGGCACAGTAACATCTCCATTGTGAGACTTGTTACCGTGTTTGGCATATCAAATATACGTCATGGGTAGCTTGCCAGGCTCTGCTGTGCGGGCGAGATACTCTCGGTAGCTTGCCGGGCTCTCCAAGAGGGGCGGAGGAATCGAACTAGGGTCGGCCATGTTGGCTGCATGTAAGGCAGACGCCCTCCCCCCTGTGCTATTGCTCCAGCCCTTATATTTATATAATAATTTTTATTGTTAAATTTATTATAATGATTCTGATTTTAATATTAATTTTTTAAATTCACCTATCCAGTGCTTTCTGGTTTAAAATTCTGTTATTCTATTAAAAGAAAAACTCAAACCCAATTCTATCACATTTAAGTGAATAAAAAGGTTAAGGTGTGAGTGGTCGCAAGGTCAACCTAAAGTCAACCTGCAGCAAAGTGAATAAAATTATTTTGAAAAAAAGTACTGTGGTGTTTAAAACATAAGCATGTTTAAATCATTGTGTGAGGGGTCCCTTTATATTATTAAGACTTTATTTGTAATTTTCCCTTTGGGTCATTGTAGACTTTTGACCAACTGTGCCAACTGGCTCGGAGTTAGGGCATGAGGATGCCACCAGGCCCTGGGGGTTCAAGGACCGTGCTCAGTGGCATCTGGGCCACTCAGGCTGGTGATTGGGGCCTCCAGGTACACACGCACACACACACACACACACACACACACACACACGGTGGTGCCAGGGTCCAAATGCATGCTCCTCTGTATGCATCTCTGACCACTGAGCAAACTCCTTTGGCCTCTGCTGACATTTTGCTTTGTTTCTACTTCTCACTTAAAAAAAAATTGGATAACATTTACACTTTAGGAGTTTAACTGTCTGAGACTTATTAGGGGAAGGGGTTCCTTTTGGTTTTACAGCTTTCAGTGGCTTATTCTACTTATTATTTGGAGCATGTGTGTAATTTTGTATTAAGGTTTCTCCTGACGATGCCTCCAAAAGTCGTGTGCACATGGAGACTTTGGAGCAATAGAAGGTGTATGGTTCAGTGTCATGATCAGGGATGACTCATGTCCCTGACCCTCACACTTTGAGGGGGGACCCTCATAATTTCAGGCCACAGTGGTGCTCTTTCCTCAACCATACAAGGAACACAAGTCTTTCTTACGGATTTCCCTCAAAGGCTTGACCATGAACAGCAAAGTAGCCTGAAGTTGTCATTACCATCAAATTCTTATTTTCATTATTCAGTGTTGGATGATTCCAACACTGAATTTGAGGCTGTCTGACACAGGGACGCGAATACTGCAGCTCTTGGAAATAAGTATCTTTGGAAATTCTGTGGGAGGCAGTGGGAACCATCTGACCGACTCAAGGTTGAGAAAAGCAGAGTTAATATAAAGGAAGCTCTAGATCACATTAAGCAGCTCAGGATAAATCTTGAACCCAGATTTAAAGAACTATGCCCACGACATTTTGTTTGAAGGTGATGCAAAGCTGGGGAAAGTAGATAAAACTTATTTCTCAAAGGTGCCTTTTTAAATGAACTATCAACTTATAAGGGACATCGCATTAAGGAGCCAAGCCAGTAGGCCACTCTTGATTACTAATGGAGCACTCAGTAGGGGAGCATTGCTCTGTTTGACTCGTCCTGGAAGATAGCCACTGAGCAGCCATGCATGTCATGTCTTATGAGAAACATGCACTTTGCTTTCCCAGGTGCGGGGGCCATTCTGATCCCACGTCTGGACATCGTCATCTCCTTTGTTGGAGCCGTGAGCAGCAGCACCTTGGCCCTCATCCTGCCCCCTCTGGTGGAGATTCTGACCTTCTCCAAGGAACACTACAACATATGGATGGTTCTGAAAAATATTTCCATAGCCTTCACTGGAGTTGTTGGTTTCTTGCTAGGTACATATGTAACTGTTGAAGAAATTATTTATCCTACTCCCAAAGTCACAACTGGCATGCTACAAACCCCCCCTCTAAATTTAAGTTCAACATGCCTTACATCTGGTTTGAAATAGAAGAAGCAGAATTCTGAGTACTCTACTTTTTCTCATTTCTAAAACTGATAAAATAAGTAGTGGGATACAATGCCAAACTACTTAAAAGTAGAACCAAGCACTGATTTTTGGTTGTTTTGTTTGCTTTTGGCATTATATTTGGAGAGTTTAATGTAAGTCTTTACCAGCAGTGTTTGATAAATTGTGACAAATCCCTGGTTTTAATTATCAGCAATAATTTTTTAAAAACTTGATTTTAAAACACTAAAATGTGAACAATTAGAGAATAAACAGTTTTCTATTATTTGTTGCCTCAATCAGCACTACTTGCACCAAGGCCTCTTGCTTTTACCCCAAGATGTCCTTTCACCATCCAGTTGGGGATGGTTTACAAAAAGAACAGAAACCCTTGGATCTTCCCAGCGTCCATGTCCAAGTATGCTTTATGCACCGATGTGAAACTCTTAATTAGGCTTTCAATAGATAACCAAATACCTTTAAGCCCCTGGAAGTATAGAAAACTCCCACCAACCATAATGTAAGCATATAGAAATTCCTATAACCAGAAGTATTCACAAAACATTTTATAATAGCAATTGATCTTTATGATGAAAACCACAAAACACTGTGAAAGAATCAAAATTAGTGTTTCGATAAAATCTGAAAAGACTTGAAAGTTTATCCACTACAAGTCCCACTTTTTTCACCTGAGGAAACTAAACCAAGAAATGTTTTGTGACCCCACAAGAAAAATCAAGCTTCTGACTCCTAGTCCAGGATTCTTCCATATTTCACTTTACATCCAAAAAAACAAATAAATTGTGTTTAGTTTAATTTTAACACCGGGTCTGTTTGATTATTATTCTGGTATTTTAAGATGGGCCATCTCTAACTAGTCTGTGTGATATGACTGGACACTAGGGACCTCTGAAATGCCTTCAGCCATGCACACCTCAGCCAGAGGACAAAGTGAGTTTCTGCACAGAGGGAAACATGCCAGCTGGCTGCTGTGGCTGAGGTGCGCAGGTACACTGGGTGCTGGGGGCTGAGGTGCTCAGGCACACTGGATGCTGGGGTTGAGATGCTCAGTCACATTGGGTGCTGGGTGCGGGGGCTGAGGTGCTCAGCCACACTCTGGGTGAATCCCTATTGTCTCACCCCTTCCCCAAGCCATCACTTTCTTAATGGCGAATTATTGGGCAGAGCAGAGTCTTTGCACCTGTGGCTTTTCTTCCAGCTCTTACTGAACAGACAGAAACAAAGACCTCCACAGGGATCCCCTCAGGGAAACTGGGTAGTAACTGTTTGATACTGGGACATGCAAGGCTTTCCCAGAGACATACCTTCTGCTACTCCATTCTTAGATGGCAGGGGAGATGGAAATTATCAAGTTTATTGTGATTCCTGACTTAAATCATATTTTAAGGCTCAATGATTTTTCGGATCAGACTTGTGGTAATCTTGTAATACTGTATCATAAAGGTTACTGTGGTGTGTTATATATTTTATATGTAAATGTTATTTCCAGTACTTCTTGCTTATATCATTAATGAGGTTTCAAGTACAATCCTAAAGATCAATCAGAAGTTTCATTTTGCAACAAATGAATAGACTCAAAACATTAGGTATAGCCAATAATTGGATTCTTTGATGTGAAACCTGTTGAGTTATATTGTGAAAGTGGAAGAAATTTCTAGAAATGTTAACTGTCACTGAAAGACAGTCTAGAATCAAGGAATAAGCTAGGTATCTGAAGAACACTTACGACAGTATAACATGAATTAAAAACCATCATTTGGGACTGGAGTGACAGTACAGTGTGGAGGCTGTTTGCCTTGCTAACCCGGCTTCCATCCCCAGCACCCCATATGGTGCCCCAAGCACCACCAGGAGTAATTCCTGAGTGCAGAGCCAGGAGTAACCCCTGAGCATCGCTGAGTGACCCAAAAAGCCACCCCCCAAACCCAAACCATCATTACTACGGGCCAGAGAGAGCACTATGCAGGCTGTACACAAGCTTTTCATCCAGGTGATCTGGGTTTGATCCCTGAGTACAGAGCCAGAAGTGATAGTCCCTGAGCTCCATCAACTGTGCCCCCCAAAACAAAACAAAGAACCCCAAACCCCAATAATTTAAAAGAAAGCATTTTTTTGTAAATTATCTCCACATAACATTTCTAGTTCATGTAAAAATTATTTTTTTATAGTTCTTTCCTTACAGAATTCACCAAATGCAGTGTAATTAGGCCCTCCCGTTGATCGTCGATTTGCTCGAGCGGGCCCAGTAACGTCTCCATTGGAGACTTTGTTGTTACTGTGTCTGGCATATCGAACACGTCACGGGGAGCTTGCCAGGCTCTGCCGTGCGGGCGAGATACTCTCGGTAGCTTGCCGGGCTCTCCGAGAGGGGCGGAGGAATCGAACTCGGGTCGGCCATGTTGGCTGCGTGCAAGGCAGACGCCCTACCCGCTGGGCCCGCTCGAGCAGTGTAATTAATTTTTTAAAAAAGTTTTAAAGAAATTTAGAGAAATGTGAGGGGGAGAGGAGAGAGAGACACAGAGAGGGAGGGAGAGAAGAGAGAAATAGAAAGTGGGACTGGAGCAATGTACAGCATAGCAGGTAGGGCGCTTGCGTGCAGGTGGCCAACCCAAATTCTTTCCTCAGCACCCATGTGGTCTCCGAGCCTGCCAGGAGTTCATAGTCAGGAGTAACCATTGAGCACCACCAGGTGTGGCTCCAAAACAAACAGAAAACACCCCGTTCCTCCCACCTAATAAGAAGAAGAGGAGAGGGGAGAAAGGAGGGGGAGGAGAGAGAGAGAGAGAGAGAGAGAGAGAGAGAGAGAGAGAGAGAGAGAGAGAGAGAGAGAGAGAATGGGCTTCTCCAGACTGGAAAAAGTCTACAGTGAAATTCTGAATCATTTTGAATCTTAATGAATTTCAAATACTGTATAACATATATAAAATATGCACGTTTTTAACTAGGCTTCCATAGCCAACAAATGCTGAATTCGCATCCAGTACAAAGTTAATTATCAATAGTTGAATGAAAGTCTGAAACAGAAAGGTAGAGGGACCTAACAGAAAGAACTTCTGAATCTTAACAAAAAGCACTATTTACATATAAAGTATTAATGCTGTTACTTTCAGACCTTTGAGATAAATATTTTATTTACCAAAAAGGGCATTATTTTTCCTCTGGAAATTTAGTATTACTGACTCCTAACATTTCCTAAAGATTTTTGGAGAAGAAACTCTGATTACATCAGCTCTTGCTTTTTTTCTGGGCCAAGGGTAAATGAGTCATTGTATCTGGGACTGTTGTCTTCTATCAGGACAGGAATGACCAGTACGTCACCTCTGACCCAAGGAGTACCTTCTCTGCAAGCTCAATGGCTCCCTGAAGCCTTGTCCGCGGAGGGTGAGGGAAAGATGCTATGTGAAAGCTCATTGAGTTCTGTCAGCAAAAAGTGGGGAAAATACGGGTTTGTATTTTAGTGAATTTAGCTGTGGATTTTTATTTTTCAAAATGATGTTAATTCAAATAAAAACTAAGTATCACTGTATTTGAGTCAATTATACTTATTTTACTTTATTCTCAGTCAAGGTAAAGGTAAAGGCCCTCCCGTTGATCGTTGATTTGCTCGAGCGGGCCCAGTAACGTCTCCATTGGAGACTTTGTTGTTACTGTGTCTGGCATATTGAATACTCTCGGTAGCTTGCCGGGCTGTCCGAGAGGGGCGGAGGAATCGAACTCGGGTCGGCCATGTTGGCCGCTTGTAAGGCGAACGCCCTACCCGCTGTGCTATCGCTCCTGCTGTAAATTATAAAGGTAAAGGCCCTCCCACTGATCATCGATTTGCTCAAGCGGGCCCAGTAACGTCTCCATTGGAGACTTTGTTGTTACTGTGTCTGGCATAGCACAGCGGTAGGGCGTTCGCCTTACAAGCGGCCAACATGGCTGACCTGAGTTCGATTCCTCCGCCCCTCTCGGACAGCCCGGCAAGCTACCGATATGCCAAACACAGTAACAACAAAGTCTCCAATGGAGACGTTACTGGGCCCGCTTGAGCAAATCGACGATCAACGGGAGGGCCTTTACCTTACCTTTACCTCAGTCAAGAACTGTAATACTGAATTTTCAGAAAAAAATTATTTTGCTTACAAAGATAATTATTTAAATTTTTTATTAATGAATTGGGGGGCATATCCAGTGGTGCTCAGGTGTTTACTCCTGGCTCTACACTCAGGAATTACTCCTGGAGGTGCTCAGGGGACCATATGGGGTTCACAGGATTGAACCCTGGTCAGCCATATGCAAGGCATGCGCCCTACTGCTGTACTATCACTCTGGCCTCTTTAATTTTATTTTAGTCATTGCAATAAATCTTGCAGTAGTGGTTCCATACATACAGTATTCCAAACCCATGTCCTCCACTAGAGTGACCATTTCCCTCCACTTTTGTCTCAGCATCATCCCTAAAATTTCCCATCCCCTCCTCCCTGCTATAGGAAGTTCAGTTTTGTATCTCTTTCATATATGGAATATAAAGAATTATAGTAAGCAAAAAAATATCGAGCCAAAGGCAACAAAACCTGTGAACTGATCTACAGAACTCAATCAATATCCTCTTAAATAAAACTGTCTGATGTTAATTACCATTGACAGGTATCATAAGCTGAAAATCGTACTAGTAGTAAGAGCTCATAATAACATTTTAAGTAGTCTCTGTAATTCTTTGTCAAAGCAACTTCAATCTGAAAATTCAAAAATACCTTCAATATTAAAGAGCGAATGTTGACTTACAATAAAAGGACATATTCTAAGCTGTGACCCGAGCCTTCAAGAGTGTATATGTAGGGTGCGTAGTCTGCAGATATTGTGGCCATAAGATGTTTGACTTCTTTCTTTTGGTCAGGAACAGGCATCAGTCACACATGAACACATTTTGCTTGCATCATAAAATGGGAATGGTGGTACTGCAAAGAATTATACCAACACCTAATCAAACACTTTAAGGACATTTATACTCATCTATTAGCAAGTCTCTTCTTGTGAACCTAAGGACAAAAAAAAATCATCAGAAGAGAAAAGACTGTCCTAAAGGTACACCAGCAACACTGCATTCTAATACTGACACACTGGAAACCACCTAAGTGTAGAACTAAAGACCAGAAACTATATTTTAACTTAGAATACAATGAAGATTGCATCACAGCAACGTTATAGTATTGATACCAATGATTATTTAGTCAATGGTTAAAATACATAAAAATAATTCACTGCTTTAAAAAATTATTACTTTTAATTACTGATTTTTCAAAAAACATGCTTTTAGACCAGACAAAGAGACATGAGAAAAATGGAAAACATGGGTTAGAAAAATTAGATGATTTCTACTATTTTAAATGAGCAATTCAAAGGAGGGCTATGAATGGAGTAAATAGAAATAAGGTAAAATTTTTGGGAGAGGAACAGGGAATTTAGAAAGATTTAGTACTAGAATATGCTTTTGGCAAGTAATAGACAAAACATAAAGTAAAGTAAAGGCCCTCCTGTTGATCATCGATTTGCTCGAGTGGGCCCAGTAACGTCTCCATTGGAGACTTTGTTGTTACTGTGTCTGGCATATCGAATACATCACGGGGAGCTTGCCAGGCTCTGCCAGGCTCTGCCGTGCGGGTGAGATACTCTCGGTAGCTTGCTGGGCTCTCCGAGAGGGGCAGAGGAATCGAACTCGGGTCGGCCATGTTGGCTGCATGCAAGGCAAACGCCCTACTGCTGTGCTATCGCTCCAGCCCCTGTGCTAAACTAAATGGAGTAGGGACGAACCAAGTACACTGAGATGTAAAAGCAATGAATAGCCCTGTAGAACACATACAC